ATAGATACATGGATACATATCTACATACATACCTACATACATATATATATATATATCTATATAGATATATATATATATATATATATATATATACATATATATATATATATATATATATATATATATTGTTTATATATATATACATATATATATAAACATAGATATATAAGTATATATATATATATATAAATATACATGCTATTTATATATATATATATGTAGATATATATATATATATATACTATTTATATATATATATTTATATATATATATATATATATATATATATATCTATCTATATATATACATATATATATATTTATATATATATGTATATATATATTTATATGTATATATATGAACGTACATATATATATATATACATATATATATGTATAGATATATATTTATAGATATATATATGTATGTGCGTGTGTGTATTGTTTTTATGGTTGTGTGTGCGTTTGTGTTCATGTGCATATAAAGCTAGACAAGGAACTCTCTGTGAACTATAGCGGAATGCAAGCGCAAACATAAACACACGCACACACAAAAACACATACACAAATAAATATATATATATATGTATGTGTGTGTGTGTTTATGGCTCTGCTTGCTTTTGTGTGCATGTGCGTATATTACTCGACGACTAACCCTCTATGGACTTTAGCGTAATCGGACTCAGGTCACGTCTTTGCGGACCTCATGCAAAATAGGGTCTTAAAAGTACAATATTTATTAAACAAGTATTGATCATTGTTTCAATCTCTCGAGATACAACTCATATTCTTACAAGTAGTCGACATATCAACTCCATTAAAAAGTCTTCTCTTGAACCTGCATCTATCAGCCAGTGTCAGATGCGTACTTTTCAACGTATCACCGCGTGCAGTCGAAATTCGCACTCTTTTCCTCCGTTCATTAGTTGAATACATATGCGACCCAGATATATGAATACTTATTTGTACGTAGACATGCACCTGAGCTAGCAAGGAAACTCGTTCCTTACCCACCCTATTACTTCATATATAATGTATGAAGACGCGTTTTCATTAGCCCACTCAAGAACATACGAAAAGACACGTTCCATCTTGTACCATATTACTTCATGTGTGCAGGTCCCGATCGATACCAATAAGTGGGATTGAGATCCTTCAATGTATCTTCCAGCTGTACGAGTTCCTCCTTTGGGCCATGTACCTCAACCCTGTACAAATCAGCGGTTTCTAATAGCTTTCCAATAAGATCTCCACAATTGGCCATGTGTTTCTTGAGAGCATCAGCATTCTCATATCCCTCTTGGCAGTAAAACTCTTTACCATTCTCTTGGAAACTGTAAAACAAGCATTCCGTTTCATTTGCTTTTACTCGCCCGACGCACTGGGCCATGGTCTCGCGTTGTTCATCAGTAATGGAACCGCCGTTCTTGACCCTAAAGTAGGGCAGAAGCTGAACGACTTGCTTGGACGACATTGATAAATTACTTTCGTTACTAATGTATGTTTATTATAGATAACACAAATGTGTGTATCTCGTAGATATTGTGCTTGTTTATATGCACGTATGATGGTTGTCCTGAGGCGAGTTGTTGGTTTGTTTACCATTTCTAAATGTATTAAAATATTGACATCATATTGGTCCTTTAGAAAACTCGTAGCAGAAGATCTGTATTTGCTTTCCAAATATGGTATGCAGAACAAGAACCCAAAGTACCCTCTCTCTCTCTCTATCTCTCTCTCTCGGTCG